GCACCGCGGAAGAAAACAGGAATTTACATATTTAGGGAAAAACAAAACAAGCAAGACGAATACACTAATAGAAAAACATCAACAAGGGCACTCCCGAGGTACCGCCTCGTAGTCCCAAGTTGTATATAAACAAATAATGGAAACATATCAACAAGGGCACTCCCGAGGTACCGCCTCGTAGTCCCAAATCATAAATAAATTCACAATCTTTCCTTATATCACCGCGAGAGCCTTCACATTTGGTTTTTAAAAGAAATCATTTTTTTCAAAATAGCATCCTGTGTTTTAGCCCACTCTATCACACCGCATGTCTTCTAGTAGTTCCCCTACTAGTCACGCGTATCAAGCCCACCTTATCTCATTGCATGCGTTTCAACACGCATACCTTATACCACCGCATGCGTATCAATATTACAATATATCACAAGTCGCACCTCAAGTGACCAAATATTTTAACTTGCCAAATAAATCAACAATAACATTATTTTCCACAATAAGGAGCTCACGGCCCAATCACAATGTATACAAAAATCTCAATAAAATATTCAGGAGTGAACAACTCAACGGAATAATATTTCACAATTTAACACTTTTATTTCAATATGATATACGGCCTTTATATTTTAATACCAATTTCAACAATCAATATTTCATAATTTAACAACTCAATTAAGGAATTCAACTTTCAGTTAATGAACACAGAATAAAGGGAACAAAACTTCAACTAAATAGGTAAAGCAATTAGCAGGAAAAAGGTAAGGCAAGTAGGACATGTGAAAATAGAATAACCATGATGAATATAACATGATAAAATAGTTCAATTAATATGTGACAGGAATCTACACAACTTTAAGCCAGAATTTCCACATTTAACCCATGTACACACTCGTCACCTCGCGTATATGGCTTTCAACACATCACAACTATCATAACAATACCAATCCTAAGGGAAATTTCTCCCACACAAGGTTAGACAAGTCACTTACCTCAAAACACACCATCTCAATCCAATAGTAGACCTTTTCCTCAATTATCCAGCTTTGAATGGCTCAAATCTAGCCAAAATAATTTCATACGATAAATATAACTATAGGAAACTAATTCGAACGATAAAATTTACGATATGAATAAATAAATCAAAAATTCAACTTGGAAAGTCAACGCGGGGCTCACGTCACGAATTTACATAAGTACCGGAATCTGAACCCCATTCAATGACGAGTCCAACCATGCCAAAATTACTAAATTCCGATAACAACTCGGCCCTCAAATCCTCAATCTTAACCTTAAGGGTTTTCATAATTTTTTCAACCTAAAACACCAATTAAATGTTAAAAATAACAATGGATTCGGGGTAATTTAACCAAACTTGAGTAAGGAATTTTTACCCCAATGTTTTCCTCGAAAATCTCCCGAAAGCGCTTCACCCGAGCTCCCAAAATCGAAAAAATGAAGAATAAACATCGAACCCATCGAACACCGATTTCGATCCGAATCACACTAGGGGTACTCAGGAACACGTCTGAATATATCAACAAGTCTCGTAACATAACACGGACCTACTCGGGGTTTCAAATTACATCAAACAACATTGAAATTACGAATTGCATCTCGAATCCACTTATGAGTTTTCAAACTTTCTAATTAACAAAACGTGTGCCAAAAAGTACTAAATAAATCCGGAACGACTTCAAATTTGGCACACAAGTCATAAATGACATACTCGAGCTACTCCAATTTTCGGAATCGAATTTCGACCCCGATATCAATAAAGTCAACTCCCGATCAAACTTTTCCAAAAATCGCCCATTTTCCAACTTTCGCCAATTTACGCCGAAACGACCTACGGACCTCCAAATCAACATCTCGGTCGCATTCCTGAGTCTAAAATCATCATACGGAGCTATTGGAATCATCAAAACTACATTCCGAGGTCGTCTACATAAAAGTCAAACTACGATCAACCCTTACGACTTAAACTTTCAACTTAGGGATTATGCGTCCCATTTCACTCCGAAACCAAAACCGAATACCCCTACAAGTTAAGTAACCACAATATAGCATAGATGAAGCATAATTTAGGGGGGGTTAAAATACTCAAAACGACCGGCCGGATCGTTACAGGCCGGCTCCAATGAGAGGAATGAGGTGAAATGAGCCAAAACCCGATTTGGCTAACATATATATTCTGCCCAGGCGATCTTTGCATCTGCGAAGCTAAGGGCCGCTTCTGCGATGTCGCTTCTGTGGCAACAAGTCAGCTTCTACGAAAAGCACTGGGGACCGCACCTGCGGACAAGGTCCCGCTCCTGCGACATCGCAGGTGCGACAAACAATCCTAGTTATGCGCTTCCCTCCACTTCTGCGCTTCAAGAAGCCACATCTGTGCCATCGCAGATGCGGTCTAAACGTCACTTCTGCGAACCTTCACCACCCAGCCTTCACCACTTCTACAATGAGCAGCCCGCTTCTGTGAAGTCGCTTCTGCGTCTAAAATTCCGCAAAAACGGCTTCACCAGCACCAGAACCCCTTCAGCAGAGAAATCATGCGACGAAACGATCTGAACCACGTCTGTAACTCACCCGAGCCACTCGGGACCCCGTCCGAATATACCCACAAGTTCCATAACATAATGCGGACCTGCTCAAGGCCTCAAATCACATCAAAACTATAAATGGACAATCGAAACCTTTCTTTAAACTTTCAAACTTCGACGAACGCGTCCGACTCATACTTAAACATTCCAGAATGACGCCAAACTTTATGCACAAGTCGTAAATCACAATACGAACCTATTCCAAGGCTCGGAATCCGAAACGGACATCGATAACACCAAAGTCCAGTTCAAGTCAAACTTTAGAAATTTCTAAAACTTTCAAAATGTCAACTTTCCACAATAAGCGCTGAAATGCTCCCGGGCGACCCGATACTCGACCCGAACATACGCCCAGTCCGAAATCATCACACGAACCTATTGGAACCTTCAAATGCTGATTCCGAGATCGTTTACTCAAAAGTCAAACCTTAGTACACTCTTCCAACTTAAAGCTTCCGAATTGAGAATTTTCCATCTGAATCAACTCCGAACATCCCGAAATTCAATTCCGACCACACGTACAAGTCATAATACATGGAGTGAAGCTACTTAAGACCTCAAACCGCCGAACGACGCGATAGAGCTCAAAACGACCGATCGGGTCGTTACAGTGTTATCTCTATGCTCTTTCTTCTTACAAACACTAGAACCATCCAAACACTACTTGATACGCCCCTGGAATTCTGTTATAGACATCAACAACTAAGAGTCAAAAGAAAACTCTGAATTTCATTTTAAACTAAAAATTGCCAATGAGGTCTTAGTTTAGTGATTAGTAGTTAAGCTGAACGCGCTAAGACGTGACCAGAACATCCCTTAGAAGTAATAAAATCCAACTCCCAGTATCATTGATTTGTACTACTGACTTGTCCATTCAAATGAATGAAACAACAAAAGATGCTGGCTTTCAGCTAAGATTCGACCAATTAGAAAGTACACTTTTCTAACTAAATCCAACGAAACCCAGACAGCAATCCATAAAATAACATAGAAAACAGTCAAATTCACAGTGCAAAAAAACAGCATAAAAATCCGCTCAAACCACAAAACTGTTCCAAGAAAATAAATTGAGAAAATTCGGGGGGATTACTTTGGAGCTCAGAGGATTGAATTCAGGCTCGCTGGAAAGAATCCGTAACTCTTTTTTGGGTTTACGAACTGTTGATCTCTAAGAGCCCAATGCTCTTGACTCAGGGAGGTCCTATCCATTACATTAACAAGTCATAGCCGCTCGGGGTCTTTACATAAATAGCCCATCAGATTCACCAATTTATTTTTTCTAGCCACTATACATCTATTACGCTGATTATATATGATTATACAGATATTATACATATATTAATATTTTTAACGACTAATTAGGTTAATTTTTTTAACTCCTCTTTTTGTATCTGCTCGTAGCAGTAGTATCAGAAGCTTAATTTTTTTACCTTAAGATGGCGTGAGCGAAATCCTTAGATGTAAATGTAATAGGAATAAAGTGCGCTGCAAATATTCCTCAATCGTATGGTCTTTAGTGCTTGAACATATATAAGAAAATTTTCTAAGGCACAAATCATAGTCCTTCGTATCGATCGTCATAGAATAAAAAAATATATATTACTCACCACGTAAAAATCAGTACAATCATATATGTTACCTTGAGAAATGGCATGTTAATTACATCCATTTCTACCTAGTCTTGTTTATCCGGCTTTGTATTTCTTATGTTCAACCAATAGTTAAATATATTTTTTGATAGCATCCGTGTCCTTTGTGGACGCTGCAAGTTTCCCTTGCTAACAGACTGAAAATTTAAAATCTAGAGCAATATCTTAGTAAGATGTGTTCGTTTACTCTTTAACTTTGATCATACCGACAAAATGTATTTTATATTGTTAAGATAAAACCATCGCAGAATTTTTTATGTGAACTTATTTTGTGACACGATCTACAAGTGTCACGTGATAGCATACCTAGCAAGCCACTATAGAATGACATACATAACATTAAGACTAGAAATAGTCCAGAACAAAATATAGGAATATACAGTAATTAGTGGAAGGTATATTACTCAGTCCTAATCATGTCCTATAGAAGGTAAAATAATGCGATGGTTATTAGGCGCACCTCTCTAGAATTGGGCATACCGACAGAAGACGATGAGCATGTCTAGTGTTACTTCTTTTGTATTAATCAAATGCTTTTTCTTCTTCTTTCTTTCTTTGTTGGTTTATTCTTTCAAAATTTTCAAGTATAAACATATATATATATATATATATATATATATATATATATATATATATTGTCACCATCAAATTTTTTATAATTAAATGGAATATATGCATATTAAAATAGTATTTGTTGATGGTGTAATATATAGTCAATGGGTTCAACTTATCTCAATATTTTCGGCACAGAATATAGATATAAGTATAAGAAAATTACTATTTAAAAATAATAATTTTAAACTTATAATTCCAAAAGCATAATAGGTGCAATAGTAAGACCTATAGGTTGAAACAGTAAAACTTATATCCTAGATCGATCTTTTCATGATAATGCACCCATTTTCTCAAAATCCTCGATCCGGTTCTACCAATGTACATGCAGGCCAAGATGGGAAAACTTCTTCAATCAACTTGTACCCGAGCATTTCGCCATTAATACGTTAGTCCTTGGAGCTGCAGTACACACCATTAACAAAATAATTCGTCCATTTAGTAAATTACTATGGAATCTGAGAATTAAGCTAATTTCACAACTCTTATATGAAGCAGGAATAACAAATTGAGAAGAAAGATAAATTAAATGTACCTAATCCAATGGCCTCTGAGCTCTTCATCAACCTGAGCCTCTTGCAAGATTCAACAAACATTCTGGCAACAGAAAATAGATCATAAAAGAAATGTTAACAACAGACAATTTAAAAGAAACCCTACGTAAAAGGCAGGAAAAGGATAAAACTAACAGGATTTAACTTATTTACAGTACTGACAGGTATACTATACTCCATCTGTTCTACGTGAACCTATTTCCTTTTTGGTTCGTTCTAAAAAGAATGATCACTTTCTAAATTTGATAACAATTTAGTTTAAACTTAAATTCTACCCTTAATGAGAAGCTTTTATAACCACACACATACTTTGGGCCCCTTTTTGACTTGTTTAGGACCACAAATTCCAAAAGTCTTCATTTTTTCTTAAACTCCGTGTCCAGCCAAACAAATTTACATAAATTGAAAGAGTATCAATTTGGCATTTAATTAGAGGTAAGGACCTCCGATGCTTATAAATACTGGAAAATTTTTATCCTATCAGGTAACGAAGTTGCTTCCCTTATTTTTCAAGTTATCAATTTCACTTATTATGAATCGTTATTTATAAATAATTTTAGGTGGATATGAAGAGGGAAATTTTCTTAGTGTGCCGGACTACCCTCTGTGAAGGGGAGTCTTAGCGTAACTGGTAAAGTAGTTGTAATGTGATCAGGAGATTACGGGTTCGAACCGTGAAAACAACTTATTGCAAAAATACAGAGTAAGACTGCGTACAATAGACCTTTGTGGCCCGACCCTTCCCAAACTCGTGCATAGCGGGAGCTTAATGCACCATGCTGCAATATTTATACGAGGGAAATTGTTGTAAAACTTACTTCCATGGAACGTCTCCAACAAGCATCCAGTCCCCATCTTTGTCTTCATAAGTTGGCAAGTATTCCACACCATTTGTAGGGTCCATAAGCTTCCTCTCATTTACAAAGTTACCTGAAACCCCATATTAATTATTACGTCAAACATAATGATTATACCGAAGGAGCTAGGACACTGTTTATTTTAATATCTCTCTTAAAAGAAATTGAGAAACTCTATATGAAAGATTGTGTACTTACAGATAGTTGTTAGGCAAGTAAACATGTTTTCCAAAGCAATTAGCAGCTGGTCATAGCTGCTGTACATCTCCAAGTCAACTTTTCTCAAGTAAGGAGCTCCATCTACTGCCACCTTCACGTATTTGCACTTCTTTACTACTCCCATCTTCTTCCTGTTTGATTTCACTGGTGGCCATCCAACTACTTGTGCCCTAATATTATTTTTCAAAATTTTGCCAAACTTTAGTGCACTAAAAATACAACAACAAAAAAAATCTACAATTATGATTAATAAAACAAACCATCTAGAGGTTTATAAATGACCAACTCATTCGGTGAGCTTCCTGTTTTCCACAAGTGGGGGATTCAAACCCCATAAATAGCGTAGCATCTCGTTTCCTTTCCCCCAATGTAATTGGAAAAAAAAATACCCTGAACCCTAAATACAACCATCTATGATTAAGCAGTGTTGTAGCCACATATAATTGAGTGTGGTTTACTGAACATACTTTATCGAAAAATTATATTGTGTATAAAAAAATTTATACTGCATATAAATCAAAAATCACTTTTTATATATCTATATTAAATTTTGAATACTCTTTGCAAAATTTCTGGTTTTGCCACTGTGATTAAGTAGTAGTCCCTCCGTTCAAATTTATGTGAACCTGTTTGACTGGGTACGGACTTTTGGAATTTGTGATCCTAAACAAGTCAAAAAGGGGCCCAGAGTATTTGTGTGGTTATAAAAGCTTCTTATTAAGGGTAGAATTGTAAGTTTAAGCTAAATTGTTTCCAAATTTAGAAAGGGATCATTCTTTTTGGAACGGATCAAAAAGAAAATAGGTTCACATAAACTGAAACAGAGGGAGTACTTCTTAATCCGTTCGCCTTAACTTTATGTGATTAACCAACAAATTAAAAAGAAAATACTACAAAAAGAACATACAAAAAAATAAAAAAGGAAAATAGACTTTTTTCGAAATGGATTAACTTATACATATGGCAGTGTAAAAATGTACTGTATATTGTGTATTGTAGGAGCTAACCTATTTTATTTTGCAGGTAACTAGTTACACGTAGTTAAAAGTATAAGAGTATAGGAGTTGAGCTTTATGTTTTAATTAGGGAACTTACTTTGCCGAAGGTTTGGTTGCGGTAGAGATTTCATTGTTGCAATAATGATCATCTTCGTAGTTTTGATCTTGAGGATTTCTGGAAGTAAAGCTTCCTAGGCTCAACTCAACAGCTTCAGATGAGAGTCCACGTTTCGCACCACAGATTTGTTTTTCCGAATCTCGGCGTAACCCAAGAGTGAGTTCAGTTTCCTCGAAACTAAGACTGGACACATCGGATTCCGACAAGTCCTTTGTTTTTGTTTTCTCCGATGACATTTTTTTACTTCTACTTCTGTAGGCTACAAGGTGTTAAAAAGTGGCTACTAATTGAAAATGGATTACGAGAAGTGTTTGGGTCTGATGTTTGGCTACTATATAAGCTTGGGAATGTGGAAGGAGGCTATCATTTTAATTAACCATTCTCCTCTCAACACGTTTAGGCAGATGGGCATGCAGTTCCGTTTGGTTCATGATTAATTATGGGTTCTCTCCGATTTGATTACTTCCACACCTTGGGTCCCATGTGAATCATTTTCTTTGTTATAGGATCGTATTCAAATTTCGAGAATCAAACGAGTTATCTTTTTACTATATTTTTTTTATATTTTAAATTATCAATTATTGTAATTTATAATATTCTTTTATAGTTTCTAAAAATATAAAATTTTATTTCGAAAAATTAAAAGATTCAATGTTTAAATATATGGTCAAAATTAAGAAATTTGAATCTCGAAAAATAAAAAAATAACACATGAATTGAGACATAGTAAAGTAACATTTTTCTTATTGAAAAAGAGTTTACTCTTTACTCCACTTACCGCATAAAAATATTTCGCACTATAAATTTGCTTCAAATTTTAATGCAGATTAGTGTTTACTTGTATTTCGAGTATAAGTGAACACTATTGAAGTGCATTGAAATGCAAGAATGATGCCTTGTGTAGTTAGGGGTCATTTAGCAATTTAGAAAGTTAGAAGGACTAGTTAGTTAAGGTTGTTACTTAACAGTGCAGATTCTGTCATAAAATCACTGGTAACTAACAACCTTAACTAACACTTAATTTTGCCTAAAATACACGATCTCTTCTTCCTCTCTTTCTCTCTTCTCTTCTTTTTACAGAATCGGTGCCGTAGATAGCAATGGTGCTTATCTAGTCTTCATGTTGCTCGATCAACTTTGCTAAGGATTCTACAAAATTAACATGGTATCAGAGCGGCGCTCCTGAAATTATAGTGTTCTCCTGCGAGTTCACGGCGAGATTCCGGTGAATCGATAGAATTACTGGTAAATTGACAGTGACGAAACTCGAAACCTATAAAAATGACAGAAAATGAAGTAACGCAGCTGGAACACAACCACCTGCTGTTTCTCCAAGCGTCAGATGCTTCGGGACTAGTTCTAGTGCCAATTAAGCTAACAAGGCCAGAAAATTATGCACTGTGGAACAGGGCAATGAAGCTAGCCCTTAGGGGAAAGAGCAAGCTTGGTTTTGTAGACGGAAGTTGTGTGAAAAGCGTGTATAAAGGTAAATTAGTAGAGCAATGGGAGAAGTGTAATACGATTGTGTAGTCATGGATAGGCAGTACAGTTGCGAATGAATTGATACCAAGTATCATGTTCGCATCGAGTGCAAAGAAGGTGTGGAGTGACTTTAAGAAAAGTTTTTAAAGATGCAGTCTTACAAGGATCTATCATTTATGGACAGAAATTGCATCACTAAGACAAGGTACGAATTCTGTAACCACATACTATTCGAAAATGAATGATTTATGGAATGAATTAAACATACTAGCACCAAAACCAGGATGTGATTGTGAGGAATCTAGGCCGTCTCTTGAACATCTATCACAGCAGCGTTTGTTGTAATTTCTTATGGGCCTAAATAAAAGCTATAGTAATGTGAGGAGTAATGTGTTGATGAAAAGTCCTGTAATCAGTGTAAATGAAGCCTATGCCATAGTGACTCAGGAAAAGAGGCAAAGGGCTCTAGGAGTAGTTGATGTGAGCAAAGGTCCACTGACTATGATGGCAGGAAGGCCTCAATATAACAAACCTAAGAAGATAGGAACGATACGTGAACATTGTGGGTATAAGGGTCACTTGAAGGAAACTTGCTATAAAATAGTAGGATATCGAGCAGATTTTAAGAGCAAGAAGAAGACCCATGTTGTAGGAGGAGGCAGGACATTTGCTAGAAAAGCAAATGCAAAAGATACCAGCAACACTGAGGGTCAACCACAAGGACATTACCTGACACATGAGCAGTACCAGCAACTGGTAGGATTGCTGAACAAACCTACAGGTGCAGAGTGTTCTACAAACATGGCCGGTATTGTTTCATTAATGTCCAATGCCACAGAAAAGGATTGGATAGTGGATACAGGTGCTACTCATCCTATAACCTGTAATAAGGATTTACTAGATAGACTTAAGATCATTGATGGATACAGAAGTGTACAATTACCAACAGGGAAGACTTCAAACATTACACATACAGGAAATGCAAAGATTCTAGGAAATCAGAAAGTGAAGAATGTGCTCCATGTACCAGATTATAAATTTAACTTGCTATCAGTGTCAAAACTCACCAAAAACCTCAGCTGTTTAGTCTCCTTTTTCTCTGATTTTTGTGTGTTGCGGGGACTTTACAGTAGCAAGGTATTGGGGATTAGTGGAGAACATGAGGGATTGTACACAATAAAGCAAAGGGAAACAGAAAACAAAGCATTGGTGGCAGGAACAATTACAGAGGAAAGTGCAGAAACGGTCTTATGGCATTACAGAATGGGGCATACTTCAATAAGATCTTTGAAGCACTTGTCATCCTTGAAGAATAAAATCAGTAGTATAGAAATAGGAAATTGTGATGTATGCCCTCTTGCAAAACAATGTAGGCTACAATTTCCAACTAATGTTTCAAACTCAGCTGCTATGTTTCCTCTTCTTCATTTAGATGTTTGGGGGCATACAAGGTTCCAACCTATGACAAGAAATGCTATTTTGTTACAATAGTAGATGATTACAGTAGATACACCTGGGTATGTCTAATACAGTCAAAGTGTGAAGTGTGTGTAGTTTTGAAAAACTTTCTTTTGATAATAAACAATCATTTTGGCGTCATATCAAGTACTTAAGATCTAACAATGGAACGGAATATTGTAATACACAGTGTGATAGCTTGTTGGCTTCTTATAGTATTATTCATCAAACTAGTTGTCCCTATGCACTGCAGCAAAATGGAACTGTAGAAATAATTACAGGCACATCTTAGAGGTGGCCAGAGCTTTGAAATTTCAAAGTGGAGTTCCTGTAAGATTTTGGGTTGATTGTATTAAGACTGCAGTCTATGTGATCAATAGGCTACCTACACCAGCTCTGAAAGGAAGAACTCCCTACGAGTTATTGTATGGGAAAGAGCCGAAGGTAGATCACCTAAGGGTATTTAGTTGTAATGCCAAGCAACAATCTTGCCCAAGGGAGATAAGTTTGCACCCATAGCTAGGAAGAGAGTGTTCAATGGATAATTAGAAACACAAAAGGGCTATAGACTGTATGATCTTGAAAAAAAAATCATTTTTTGTAAGCAGGGATGTAGTGTTTCAAGAACGTAGATTTCCTTTCAAGGATACAGGAGTTGAAGCAGATGATATGTTCATTCAACAGCCCATTTCAGCACAAGAGCATATTCCTAATTCACCACCTATACAAGTTGTGAGTCAAAGACACTAATTTACCTGTGAATTAAGATGACATTGATTCCCCTGCAGGTGATGATGCTCCCACAGACTTGGAATCAGAAGAAGTAGAGCCAATCTCTATAACACTGGAGCAGTTGGACTTCACAGACACTCAAGGTTCAGCATTAAGTGAGGTGTCAGAAGAGGCTCTTCTTGTTGAGCCAGTGCCTGCACCAACTACAACTGACTTACCTGCACAACCAGCTCTAAGAGAACCCAGAAAGACAATTCCTCTCATATGGATGAAAGACTATGTGACTTCTTCAAAGTTGTCTGGGAACTGTAGGTTTCCAATCTCAAATCGTGTTGGATATGATCATCTTACCACAACATATCAAGTCTATTTATTTACAAGTCTTTTCAGTCCTAGTGGAACCTAGAGCCTTCAAAGAAGCAACACAGGATCCACAGTGGATAAAAGCAATGGAACAGGAGATACAAGCACTAGAAGACAATCACACGTGGGAGATTGTAGACCTGCCCATTGGGAAGCAAGCCATAGGCTGAAAATGGGTCTACAAAATAAAATACAAGGCAAATGGAGAGGTGGACAGGTTCAAAGCTAGATTGGTAACTAAAGGTTACACACAACAAGATGGATTGGATTACCATGAAACTTTCTCACATGTAGCTAAAATGGTTACAGTGAGAATTGTTATCAATGTTGCTGCTTCCAAGGGTTGGCCATTGTTTCAAATGGATGTCAATAAGGCCTATCTCCAAGGTGACCTCACTGAAAGTCTATATGGATTTACCTCTGTAATTTCACAAACAGGGGGAGTATAAGGTGTGTCGATTGTTGAAATCCCTCTATGGTTTGAAATAAGCCTCGAGGCAATGGAATATTAAGATTACAAATGCTTTGCTGCAAGCTGGATACTCTCAGAGCTCACATGATCATTCACTCTTTACCAAGAAATATGGCAAGAACATTGTGATCATCCTGGTGTATGTGGATGATTTGTTGAAATTGGGAATTCTCACAGTATGATTACAGAAGTCAAGCAGACTCTTCACCACAATTTCATAGTGAAAGATTTAGGGGAACTTAGATATTTTCTTGGAATAGAGATCTTGAGATCACAAGGAGGAATTGTATTGAACCAGAGAATATATGCCATAGAGCTTATTTCAAAGGCAGGTTTGAGTGGATGCAGGCCAATTACAACTCCAATGGAACTCAATCATAAGCTAACTACTGTAGATTATGATAACCATGTTGGGAACACAGGAGATAAGCTATTGAGGACGCTGGAAGCTACCAAAAGTTGATAGGAAAGCTGCTTTATTTGACCATCACAAGACTAGATATAAGTTTTGTTGTGCAAGCGTTGAGTCAATTTATGCAGAATCCTAAACAATCACATTTGGATGCAGTCTTGAGGGAGGTGAGATACAACAAGGGATCTCCATGCTTAGGTATATTGCTGAAGAAAGGTGAGACAAACAACTTAACAGTGTTTTGTGACTCAGATTGGGCAGTTTTCACAAATACTAGAAGGTCGACCATAGGATACATTGTCAAACTAGGAGACTTCTTGTTGTCCTGGAAGTCCAAGAAGCAACAAACAAGCAGCAGAAGCTTAGCATAAGCAGAATATAAAAGCATGGCTGCACCAGTTGCAGAGGCAGTTTGGATGATTGGATTGCTAGAAGAACTGGGTAACAATGTGATCAAACCAGCGCATATATACTGTGACAGCAAAGCTGCTTTGCAACTAGTAGCCAATCCCATATTTCATGAGAGAACCAAGCACACAAAGATTAATTGTCATTTTGTGAGGGAAAGGATCAAGACGGGGCTTATTACTACTGAATATGTATCCAACAAATAGCATTTAGCAGATTTGATGACCAAAGGGTTACATTAGGAGCTGCTCAGCATCATCTGTTATTGTCCAAGCTGGGAGCGTTAGATGTCTTCCACTCTCCGGCTTGAGGGGGAGTATTGAAGTACATTGAAATGCAAGAATGATGCCTTGTGTAGTTAGGGGTCATTTAGCAACTTAGAAAGCTAGAAGGACTAGTTAGTTAAGGTTGTTTCTTAACAGTGCAGATTCTATTATAAAAGCACTATTAAGTACCAAAAATGTAACTAACACTTAATTTTGCCTAAAATATATGATCTATCTTCCTTTCTTTCTCTCTTCTCTTCTTCTTACAGAATCAGTGCCCTAGATAGTAACGGTGCTCATCTAGTCTGCATGCTGCTCGATCAGCTTAGCTAAGGATTCTACAAATTAACAGCTACTCTGGCAATAAAGTGGCTAATTCTATAAACAGACTTACAATAGAATTATGCTAAATCTAATTCTTAAAAAAATAGTGAGGTGATACTCTGTAATTATTGAAAGCTCTATAACGAACATGGTGGAACTTATTGAGAAAAAATCGTCTATTAACCAAATTGAAAACGACTGGGATTATATGAGCCCATGTCTTTGCTTGCGCTGTTTAGTCATTATTGGAAAAAGAGATTCTTTTTATCTAATCATATTAGATGTCCAAAATTTATTTGTTCGCCTAATCATGATTCTTGCTGGATATTTGTTAAATAATAGAGGGAAAAAATCAAATTTGTCTTCAAAATTATTCAATTTTGCTCTTCCTTACGTTTTTGGTCAATACATATCTCTTTTTGGGAAAATAACATTGCATGGTCGCTCTCAAAATAATAGCCAAATATATATAAATAAATAATTTGTGGCGCATACTATAATACTCCTCTCCTATCTTTTTGCTTAGCAATTCATTTCGTATTTATACTTTGTCTTACCAAAGCTCCAGTCTTAAAATGATATAACGCTACATGTCCAAAATTTTCTAGAACAAAAATGTATAATAGTACATTTTTTAGTTCAAGAATTCTATATCCCAACTCACTGCACGAACAAGTGATTGAATGAAGCAAAACAATGGCACTCGTGTGTACAGAAGGGTGATGAAAGAGATGGTGGGCTCTACATGTCTGGGGTACTTTAGGGAACAGGTCAATCTAGAAGAGTCCATGTGCAATACCCAAACTCAAATTAAGAAAGAAAAAAGGGTCCCACAAAGGATAATCATGTGACCCTGTTGCTTTGTCGGGTTTTGACTTATGACAACCTTTATCACGCCAACCGACACGTCCACTCTTTATTGTATGTTTACTTTTGTCTACCATTTATTCTACAAAAACTCAATCAAATTGAAATAGAACTAATTATTATGCAGTACGTAGTATTCTTTTAGTTGCGGAATATCATGGGTTAACTAGCACACAATCATACACAAAACAAATAAAGAATAAAATCTGTATGGGTCAAAATTAGATCAGAGAAATTCAGCACGCGGAGGGAGACATAAGGCCGAGGTCGGATAGGCCGAGGTCGGACAGGTCGAGGTCGGACCGTCATCAATAAGGCCGAGGTCGGACAGGCCGAGGTCGGACCGTCATCAATAAGGCCGAGGTCAGACAGGCCGAGGTCGGACCGTCATCAATAAGGCCGAGGTCGGACCGTCATCAATAAGGCCGAGGTCGGATAGGCCGAGGTCGGACCATCATCAATAAGGCCGAGGTCGGACCGTCATCAATAAGGTCGAGGTCGGACCGTCATCAATAAGTCTGAGGTCGGACCGTCATCAATAAGGCCGAGGTCGGACCGTCATCAACAAGGCCGAGGTCGGAGCATCGTCAATAAGGCCGAGGTCGGACCGTCATCAATAAGGCCGAGGTCGGACAGGCCGAGGTCCGACCGTCATCAATAAGGCCAAGGTCGGACTGTCATCAATAAGGCCGAGGTCGGACAGGCCGAGGTCGGGCAGTGATGAAACAACCAGTCTGCTTTGGAATCCTCAAAAGGAATATTCTACTGAATATTCCCTCTAATTGTACCTTTTCTTTTAGGGTTTTTATAGGAAAACCCCTTATAAATAGGAAGAGAGGACTTCCCAAAAGGGGTGCTCTCTCTCTCTCTCTCCCTCTCCCCCTCCCCCTTTCTAGAAAATATGTAAACACACCTCTCCAAATAAATGAGAGGATCTGTGATCCCATACCTTCATCAGATCCAAAAAAGGGTCATAAGGTTCTTGTATTTGTCTATCATTCGTCTTTATTAAAAGAAAGAAGATCCGTCTCACTGAAGATCGGGTGAATCTTTTCCTTTATTCATATTTTTGTTAGTTAATGCATCTTTTTTATGCCATTAAATCTGGTCATAATCGCCGTCAACATTTATATTCGGCTATGTTTTTTAATTCATATTATTCATCTCGGATCTAGAGTTAATTATCCTTAACTAGGATTTACCCCTTCATCTTTGATTGATTTGTCCAACAAAGATTCTATATTTTTTTGAGTCAAACAATTTGGCGCCGTCTGTGGGGATTTTCTTGTTAAAATTTTAGTTTCCTCTAGATCTGGAATTCAATTCCAGTTCCACGTTCTATTCATGGTAGATATTTCCTAGTACGGCTGTCTACCATAACATGGAAAGACGAAATAGCTTTCTTAAACTCTCTTTCGCTTCTGCAGCTTCAAATTTTTAATATACTCTCCATATAAGAGAATATTCGTACAACTTCTGTGTTCTTTAAATGCCAAATCAAAGGCGTTTCTTATCATTGGATAAATTTGATTATATATTTCAACTGTAGAAAATTTCGTGATTCCTCTTAAAGTCTAAACCATGGAACAAAAAATATACAAGTGGATAACTTTATATGGCTATAAATTGTGACCCTTGGTCCTGCTGTTTTTGTATCAATATTAGCTAACCAATATAGAAAGAGACAGCAGCTACGGTGTCAACTACTTCAAGTTTTCTACTTCTTCTTCTTGTTTCTTCTTCATTGTTTGTAACAGAAGCTCAGATACCTGCTCCAGTTAAGGGTGTTTCATGGAAATTTTATGAAACTAGTTGCCCTCAGCTTGAATCCATTATTAGGAAGAGGCTTGAAAACAGATCAAGGATGATGTTGGCCAAGCTGCCGGTTTACTTCGCCTTCATTTCCATGATTGCTTTGCTCAGCCTCCCAAAAATACGAGACAATAGCGTGGATCTGCAAGAAGGCACACAAAAGAGATATGGTCATCTGGTGCCCTCTTCTTCCCCAACTGTTCCTCTATCAGATAATATGTTATCTGTACAACAAAAAAAAACTTTACTAAAGCGGACAGCCGCGCCAAAATTGGTAGTGGCCACTGAAAGCATAACCGGAGAAGGGAATATGGTCACTCCTCTCCACTCGTCGACCGATCAAATCGAGGTAACGAACGCTTTTATTTTGTTTTAACTGACTATTTCTCTAAGTGAAATAGAAGCAGGAGCAATCACCCAGGAAATACATCATATTCTCCAATGCAAGCAAAATTAAGCAAACTAGGACTCCCCCTGGAAACACATCATATTCTCCAATGCAAGCAAAATTAAGCAAACTGGGACTCCCCCAAGAAATACGTCCTACTCTCCAATGCAAGCAAAATTAACCAAATTGGGACTCCCCCGGGGAACACCCCAACGGCCAAGGGCCGTCACCAAAAAAGAGGAGGTCGACCTTACGGCCAAGGCCTTCGCCAAAGAAGAATAAGAGTTCGACCTTGATCGAACGACGACGGGTTAACATTTCGATAAGTTTGAAATAACACCCTTTAAGGCCAAGGGCCTTCGCCAAAGAAGAAGAAGAGTTCGACCTTGATCGAACGACGACGGGTTAACATTTCGATAAGTTCGAAATAACACCCTTTAAGGCCAAGGGCCTTCGCCAAAGAAGAAGAGTTCGACCTTGATCGAACGACGACGGGTTAACATTTCGATAAGTTCGAAATAACACCCTTTAAGGCCAAGGGCCTTTGCCAAAGAAGAAGAAGAGTTCGACCTTGATCGAACGATGACGGGTTAACATTTTGATAAGTTCGAAATAACACTCTTTAAGGCCAAGGGCCTTCACCAAAGAAGAAGAGTTCGACCATGATCGAACGACGATGGGTTAACATTTTGATAAGTTCGAAATAACACCCTTTAAGGCCAAGGGCCTTCGCCAAAGAAGAAGAAGAGTTCGACCTTGATCGAACGACGATGGGTTAACATTTTGATAAGTTAAAAATAACACCTTTTAAGGCCAAAGGCCTTCGCCAAAAAAGAAGAATTCGACCTCGCTCGAATTACAACGGGTTAACATTTCGGCCTTAGCTCAAAATAACACCCTTGCGGCCAAGGGCCATCGCCAAAAAGAAGAATTCGACCTCGCTCGAATTACAACGGGTTAACATTTCGGCCTTAGCTCGAAATAACACCCCTACGGCTAAGGGCCATTGCTAAAAAGAAGAATTAGACCTTGCTCGAACCACAACGGGTTAACATTCCGGCCTTTGCCCGAAATAACACCCCTACAGCCAAAGGCCATCGCCAAAAAGAAGAATTCGACCTCGCTCGAATTACAACGGGTTAACATTTCGGCCTTAGCTCGAAATAAGACCCCTACGGCCAAGGGCCATCGCCAAAAAGAATAATTCGACCTCGCTCGAATTACAACATTTCGGCCTTAGCTCGAAATAACACCCCTACGGCCAAGGCCATTGCTAAAAAGAAGAATTCGACCTTGCTCGAATCAC